CAGAAAGCCGAAGCTGGCCTAGCGGCCGGTCGACAGCCTGCTTCTGACAGCTGGGCGGAGCCAGCCGTGATCTTATGGCTGGCTCCGGCCACTTTCAGAGAAATCAGCGTCCCTGGTTGCTAACCAGGGACACTGATCTCTAAACAGCTAACTCTCCCTGGCGCCCCCGGGTGCTTCCTGCTCCCGTCCCCCAAGGAGAGAAACAATGCCGTGTCTTTTAGGAAATGGGAAACAGTAGGAAATGGGAAACAACTGACACAAGTACTTTTGAAGTGAGGCAGTAACACACGACTGGTTTAGAGTGTACCACCACAGTATGATTATGCACGTTCTCAGCGTTAGACACAGTAGGGATAAAGTTCTCTGTTTGTACAAGTGTAGTAGTTAGGGTAGCAATGCACAGGCTTAGTCTCTAACACATGAAGCAATGGTTAATACAGAGGCCAGTTGTACTTAGGTAGTTCAGGTGTACTGACAAACAGATGGGAGCAAGCAATGCTTTAAGTATACGGTTGCTAAGGAGACCTGAGGCTATGGTTGCTTAGCCCAGGTTACTTGCGGTTTAGGTGTTGGTTGAGGTCTTCAAGGACGAACTGGGTCCGGTGGGGTTGAGGCGAGCAGAACGCTGGGGTTGATCAGCGTCCTTCCACAATCAACGGAAAGACGCCGATCATCCGACCCGAAGCCACACGAAGCAGGTCGATGTACGGCCGATTTCAGCCGATGTACGGCTGAAATCAGCCGTACCAGCCTGAAGTGAATAGCCGAACAGTGTTCGGCTCACTTCACTTCTGATCGGTCATTCACTCGGCTGCACTTGGAATGCAGTGAATAGACCCCATAGTTGCTTATTGTTGATTTTCATGTATAAAGTTAGCCTAAAGCCAGTACTTGATTCTATGCCTTGGACTTAAAGTGACATTAAAGTCAAAAATCTTTTTCCCTCCCCCAATGGTAATTAAAGCACTTACCTTAAATGATGTATCTTAATCCGATCTTCTTCTTTCCTGTCCTTTTCATCTGTCCCCCCAGCGCTGTGGTTGGTCTCCGATCCAGCACCGACTCCTCTGAGCTTGCTGGCACTTCCTGTCCCACGGTGTTTGCATGCGGCTGCACGCTTTCATAGACTTACCTTGTGTCTCTCCTCGCGTCCTTGCCGAAAATGTGAACTGCGCATGCGCCCACCCGAGAATTTGCAAATTTTCGGACGGCAGCGCGCGAGGAAGACACAGGTAAGTATTAACCCTTTTCAAAGCGTTTTTTTTTACACTTTGTACATATATCTACTGCTTGCTAGCAGTAGATATATGCAAAAAAAAAGGAGGGTTTAATAACCCTTTAATTGTTTAGTGTTGTTATAATGATAGCAATGCTTTCTTTAAAGTAATTGTGTCACATGTGAGCAATCATCACAACATTATAGAACAGAATGCAATTCTGTCGAAATTGATTTCAACTGTAAATTTCATGATGCCATTGTGGAGTAATCAGCACTGGAAGATCAGAGGCTTTATCATGTTTATTTAAATTTCTGAGTATTCACTAGGTGAAAAATTATTTATGTTTCCTCCTAACCTAATTGACAGTTTTAAGTCAAAACTAGGCTGAGAAAAGTACAGTAATAATCTTCCAAGTTTGTACATTTTCTGGTTGTTCTACAAGCTTGAAATTACTTAAGAGAAAAACTGACCTACAAAAATATAACGTTTTGTTTTATTTTAAGAATCAGTACTGTATACAAAAGAACAATGTTTTTTTAATAACTTTAGCTGCATGGTTTCTATTTTAAGACGTACTTCTGCATGTTCCCCACAACTTTTTAAACTTCCTAAGCTCTGTCAGTTTTACTATAAATCTCAATCAATTCTCATCCAATTACTAGTTTGTTGTCATGTATCCTACTCAGGTCCCCTTTAAAATTTCTCATTCTCAATTATGCTCCAGACCTAGATCTGTACTCCACCTGGGCTCATTCTTTCTCATTCAGTCTTTCCCCAAATCCTAGTCTGTATTTATCTAAATGTTGTAATGCTCCCATTCAGACATGCATCATCACCAGACTCAAGCATCAGTTTCAGACCTCAGTCAGTCAAGCATCAAAGTCAGGTACCAAAATTAAAGGTCAGTGTCAAGTTGCAGATTCACGTGTCGGAGATAACAGTAAGAAATCACAATTAGGCTAGTTTTACATATTGCACGTCCCGGGACTGCATGATTGTGCACGATTGCACACATTGATTACCGCGCTGCCCCATTGATTTCAATGGTTTTATACCATCCGGCAATTGCTGAAAAAAAGGTACATGTACCTGTTTTTGCGACACACACCATGTGTTTTTTTCATAATAAATAATAGCACCGCCATTGCGATCGGCAGTGGTGTGCGATTCCATGACTGCACGGCCATCCGCTGGGTTTTGTGCACGATTGCCACAAAGTCACGGATGGCCCCAGTGTGAACCTTGCCTCAGGTGGCAGAATCAGTTTTCTGACTTAAGTATCAAACTAACTTGTCAGATTCAGGTGTCAAACTTAATTGTGAAAAACAGTTGTCAGAATGAGCCTGATTTTGGCTCATGATCATCTATTCTGACATACAATACAATAAGGTGCCCAATCAGCCTGCCTCTTCTTATTCAAGCAAGAAAGGTATACCTACTGATTATACAATCTAAGAAATCCAGCAATCTATTTGCAGCCTTTGGATGTATGTAGGAGCATGTCCAGTGACCCCATGCCTGTCACAGCCTCCCAGCTCTTTCTGGTGTTTGCTTGTTGCCACTGCACGTATCTCAGTCTTCTAGTCAGGTGTGGGCTAATTGTTGCTGTCACTGTGTGTTTTGCTGGTTACAGCACTAGTCTAGCCAGCTGTGACCTAATGAATCACACCTCCAGCTCTGGGATTGGCCCTATTTAAGCATCATCAACCTGTTCCTCAGTGCTTGTGATAGCAATTGCTTGCTGATCAAGTGCACTCTGATTCTGGTTTTGACTCCTGGCTTTTGATTCTCTGGCTTTTGGATTAGAGTTTGCTACCTGTCCTGACTCTCGGCTATGTTTTCTGGATATTCCCTTGTCTGCTGCCAACCCTGATCAATTGCTATGTTTCCTGGATTCCTCTTCTGCTACTTCTGATCTCACCTTCCACTGCCATACGCTGCATTTACTTTATGGGTCTGTTGCAACATCAACGGCCAGCGTATATAGTACAAGTCATGGGGCATCCAAGTACCGGTAGACACACTAACCTTAAGGGAAAGGTGGCTGCTATAGGTGAAACGCATCATCACTATATACTCAGACCAAGGTGTTTACATACGAAACCTTACTATCAGTCAGTTTTCCCCATAAGTCTCTCCACTTTGCAGTTATTTTAGCAATTATTTCATAATATATTATGCAAAGGAAGTCTAGAATGTAAATTTAGAGATAGAAATGAGCTTCAGTTATCATTTAGGTCATCAGAGTAAAATGCTATAGTCGGGTACCAGACTCATGTAACAGTAAGGCATCATGTCTTAGAGTCAAGGTTTGTTATCATTGCGTTAAATAATTAATACACAGCAGAATTTTAGGCAACCTTTGGTTTACTTAATAATCAAAAGTAAGAAGACCACATCTATGAACTACATGATGACAGAACAATACACGTGTGTTGTTTGGTGGTCCTGTCTAGGTAACCACTATGCTGCTTTATGGGGAAAGATTTAAACCCCCAGGATTCTTGTTGTAAAGAGTGATATGTTTCTAGTGTTGTCAATTCATTGATATTTTTCTATTGGATGCAGACAAGAAGGATATACTCCACTACTGTATACATTTTGCATCATATAATATGTTTTTGATTGCAGTGGATTTACTGATTGTGGCAATGTATATTTGTTGACTAGGTAGATTTACAGAATGTAACTGAACAGAGGTGCAAATAAAATTGTTGCAGTGCATGCAACAATAGATATGCCACCACAGAGATGATGATGATTGCTTTTTAATACTATTAAAATAATTGTGTCGCGCTCTGAACCAATGTGTCACACAAAATATTATCCATTCTGTCTCCTAACATTTGCACAATAATGTGTAAAAAATAAATCACAATATAGTTATTAAGAACTCTTATTTTAATAATTTTGAATAATATTATCATATTATTTCAGTGTTGCTGATATTGTGCATTTGGCACGGGGTCTATTTATATTTACTTTTTAATACCAACTTATTGATTGTAACAGTGGATAATAATTCCACTAAAAATATTGGAGAAAAAAAATGTTTTATTATTTACTGTATGGCAGCTGAATCAGATTTGTGATACAAGATACCTGTTTCTGCTATTTAAGTCTGACACAGGAGTCTGACACATGATTGGTATGTATGCAGAAGGTCTAAGGGACAAGTGATGAATCTTTATAGTAAGAATGACTTAGGTTTGAGGGGAAAAATGACAGGGATTTTAGGAAAAATGAGAAGAATTATAGATGACTGAAGAAGATTTGCATAACAAGTCATGTCCATTTTTAGGACAGTTGATCCAAGTTATAAAGGTTTGAAGAACAACTGATTGAAGTTTGGTGGATGCCTGCTGGAGGGTTGGGAAATGAATGATAAATGTTGACATGTAACGGTATTTTGGAGCACAGCTGACCAATTGGTCTGAACAATTTTTGGAAGATGGGGATTTATTGTGGGAAGAGTGAGGTGCATGCTAAGACACATTCTATATTAGACATTATATGCTTGTGTTTTAGAACTGGTGAATATAACGTTTTGTTTTTTAACTAGAGATGGTTATTTATCTTACTTTCAAAGTACATTTTAATAGGTGTTAAAATCCAAAATACCTGCAATTATATATATCTTAGGGTTAGTTGCAGTCTTTCTCTTGCCAGGGAATACAAGAGATCCCTGGAACATTGATCGCAAATATACTGTATAACTTTAAAATCTTGAATTCCGTTTTGTGGATAATATGATTTAACCTACTTTTTTAATCTTTGCAGGGATCCAAATAAACCAGTTCCACAAGACACAAAGTTCATACATACAAAGCCAAATAGATTTGAAGAAGTTGCCTGGTCTAAATATGATCCAAAAGACCAACTATATCTACATATTGGTCTGAAGCCAAGAGTAAGAGATCACTACAGAGCAACAAAAGTGGCTTTCTGGTTAGAATTAGTACCACATCTACACAACCTCAATGAAATATTTCAGTATGTTTCTACAACAACCAAGGTACCACCACCGGATATGACTTCATTTCCATATGTTACACGACGCTCTCCTGTAAAGTCAAGGGCTACTACAAAGCGTCCAGCAATGACAACAGCAAATAATCCCAAAGTAACACAAAAGAATGGTATGAGTGAAACCACTATCATTGCAGAAGACAAAAGAGATTACTCTACAGAACTTAGTGTCACAATTGCTGTGGGAGCTTCCCTTTTGTTTCTTAATATTTTAGCCTTTGCTGCTTTGTATTACAAAAAAGATAAGAGACGCCATGAAACACACAGACGGCCTAGTCCTCAGAGGAACACAACGAATGATATAGCGCATATTCAAAATGAAGAAATATTGTCCTTACAAATGAAGCAATTGGAGCATGATCATGAATGTGAAGCTCTTCAGGCACATGACACTCTCCGACTGACCTGTCCACCTGACTACACCCTCACACTGAGGAGGTCCCCTGATGATATCCCTCTTATGACTCCAAATACAATAACAATGATTCCAAACACATTAACAGGTATGCAACCGCTGCATACCTTTAATACTTTCAGTGGAGGCCAAAATAGTACTAATTTACCCCATGGGCATTCTACCACCCGAGTATAGCTTTGCGATGTTTTCCATCATCTGGGAGAAAATAAAAACAAACAGAGAACTTGAGAAGAGGTAGAGAAGGAGTTATTTTCTTACTTGTTCCCGTCTAGAGGAATTGTCTAATATTCATACGATCAGCCCAATATGTGAATTGTGTAAATTGCTGTTATGATAATGCTTATGAATTTATCCCTGCTAGACAAAATTTTGATAAACTTAATATTTTGAACATTCTCCTAGAAGAAAATGGATGTTTTCTCTATTATACATAATGAGGAAAGCTGCTCTGGAAGACTTTACTGCTTTGTTTTTGTTTTCTAAGTTCTCTATGTGCCATACAGAACACGGAGCCCTCGGTCAAATACATTAGTATCCTAAGCTTTTTTAAAGCTGTAATTCACAATGGAGATTCTATTCAAAACAGAGGACTGACTATGCAGAATTAAATGTATAGTTCTGGCAATGAAGGTATATGCCATCATGAACTGTATTTAAAGAAGAAAAAAGTTTGTAAAAATGTAAATAGCTGTGAGTTTAAAAAAATATCTTTTATTGTTGTTTTAAGTTTAAGAAAAGAACTTTTAGAAAGATTGTGCTTTTAGTTGTGACCTATGTGTATATACATTAGTCAAACTCCATCTCTGTTGCCTCCAGAAAAAGAAAAGGGTTTTCTTCTTAATAATGTAAGACAGAGTTAAGGAATTTTATAATCTTATTCATTTGTAGGAAATAATGCAAGTTCTCTTGAAGATGACATTTTGGATATGTTAACTGCAAAACTCCCCTTTGAGGTTACACAAATGCATGTGCAATTTTCTCTTTTTTTTCTCTTTTTTTTATGTTTTACATTTTACTATTGTTTCTTGAATATCTGGAGAACTGGGTAATGTTCAAAAATAATTAGCACTATTCAAAAGATGTATCAAAGAATGCTTAAAATTGCTGTTCTTTCTTATTTCCCTATTTAAAAAATAAAATAAAAATGTACAATGTAAACTCAGTCTACACTGTAGGATACACAATGTATAAAAGGAAAACAATTATATGAAAATAAGAATTTAATTATTGCAATTTTACGAAGATTTTGTTCATTTAAATAATACAATGCTTTATCCATTATGCCCAGCATCAGATGTTTGTCATATAAAATGTGGGTTAAGATTGTTTTCATTTGTTTTCATTTATTTATATTTTTTAATAATTATGTACCTGTCACATGCATAATGCACAGTACAGAAAGCTAAAAAGAAAGACCGCTAAATGGTTTTCAAATAAATTCTAAACATTTTATTGGAAAAAAGTAAGCACTGTCTTCTCCTATTTTTGGGTTTTCCCACTTTTCCCATCTGTTAATCACGATGACTGTGTTTATCTTTTTAACAAGCATATAATTTACAGCAGGTTAGCTAGCCTAAGAAAAATTAGTCTGAATCAAACATCAAATTGAGTTATTTGTTTTATTAAAAGGATAACTGAGAGCAAAAATGTAATATATTTCAGCTCATCAGTCCTCAGATGTAGTGACTGCATTTTAACAAAGAAAATCTGTTGATCTTGCCAGAAGTGTCCCAGCAAATGACTTGTAAATTGAACAGAAATCACAAATATTGTAATCTTCCTTCCAATCTATCTTGTGAAAACTACTAATTAATTTGCCCCTTCCCCCATATAATAGAGATGAAGAGAAAAATGAATGTGTATAGTTCAAATCAGGACAGCAGCCTAGTGACAACCATGGCTCCCTCTATAGATACTGTGGAGTGAGTGCAGCCACCATAGGACAGGAATTCATAGAATTACAAGGTGAAAATAAGAGAAAAGTCTGGAAAAAATAATGCAGCCACCACATCTAAGGACTGGTAAACAGTAGTATACAGTATTGCATTTTGGTTTTTGGGTTTAGGTACACTTAATTCATATTGCCCTGATTGGGTATTCAAAGTGAAAATAAGTATTCTGGGCCCCCAGTCCATAGGGATTGGTAGTGGGAATGAGGCATTGGACCATTACCATTCTCTAGTCAAGTAGGAGCAATATTTGGGCCTGATGGCTCAGTTCCAGCAGCTCTTCACAAAATGACCCTGCAGAGGGAGGGAAGCCCAGAAGGGGCAATAAATATGAATGAAGACTACAAAATAGCACCAGGTAATTGTCTCAAGAGTCCAAAATCAACATTTATTAGCTTCACAAATGGCGGCCAGAACATATGCACAGTCAATGCATTTCAGAGGTCAGGAATCCCCCTTCATCAAGGCTACAAAGAAATACACTAAATAAATGTAATGTGTTTCCTTGTAGCCCTGATGAAGGTGGACTCCTGACCCCTGAAACATGTTGGCTGTGCATATCTTCCTGTTGCCTTTTATGAAGTCAATAAAGGTTTTTTTTTAACTTTTGAGACAATTACCTGCCGCTTTTTTTGTAGTCTTTATTTACATGGTATAAAACTTGATTGTAAGGAAATTAATTGCTGAAGAATTTATTCTCAAGATGTAAATACACTGAGTGGCCAGATTATTATGACCATCCAATCAGTACTTTGTTGGGCCATGAGATGACTCCACGAGATGACTTTGTTGGGCTGCCTCATGACTCCACGAGATGTTGAAATGTGATGCGAGGAATCTGACACTGCACTGTTGCCCTTCTGTTGTCTTGTACCAGTCTTGCCACTCTCCGTTCTGCCCTAACATTGACTAGTCGCTGACGGCCACAATTCGCACGTTCAGACCCAGATTTTCGGCTAGCAGTCCAGTCTTTAAACACTTTAACAACAGGTGCTCTTGAACATTTAACAAATTCTGCTGTTGTTGATACTCGCTTCATGGCTCAGCGCCAACAATCATCCCACTTTCAAAGGCTGTTAAATCGCGTTGTTTACCCATATCTTCAGAAACAAAATCACTTCTACTGTCATGGTAAACAACATGCTTCTCTATTTATAATGGTCTGGCCCTCTAGCAACTTCAGCGCGAAATTATAGCTAATTATAGGTAATTTGCCTACAAACGTCAGGTGGTCATAATAATCTGACCACTCAGTGTATACATGTTGGTAAGTGATCTTTTGTAAGAATAGTAATTTGGTAACCAGATCTTGTATGACCCAGCAGTCAAATAGTCAATTCCTATAGTCAGTTCTAAAAATAAGTTACAAATGTGCCTCATCTACTGTGTGTACAAGTGAATTGCTATATTTTCAAACTACTAATGGAAAAAATACAATTTTTCTTATTTTCCTTGCGCTTGATTAAGTATATCTGCAAAGTGAATTTTCACTACATTCACTAAGCTAAAGAAAAATTCCCTTGCAAAGAGGAAATTCCCTTTCAAAGTGAACCGCATATTTGCCTTTAGTAAATCAATCCCCACAAAGCCACATAGGCAGGGTAAAACTAGTAAACTACCGAAACACACTTTAGTTAGTCCATAGTTAGTATAGTTCATATTGCCAAATCTGGTCAATGTCCCATTGCTTTGTTCACACCTGGATAATGTGGGTAGCTTTTATTTGATGATAATAGGTAGATTAGGATTCTTTACCGGTGTTTTTTTAACCAGGTGAAGTAAATCCTATAGAAAACTGGGAAACTGCCATGAAGGACGTTATCTCTTTTATAATTGAATGACATTATTGTCTGGCTGTTTAGACCAAATTTAGCAGTTTTAGTTAACTTGACTATAACTCTCTATTACCAACTTGACTATAACTCTCTATTACCAATTTGCCTACCTAATTTCTTTAAAAAATGTAAGGATATGTGAAGATTTTGTTTGGTACAATGTTGTAATACACCTGCTTACATGTCTTATGATAGGCTGATAAATTGAATATATACTGTATACAGTAGTCGATGTCACCAAAATATGATAATGCTGCCATAATATAGCAATGATGATTGTTTCCTTATTATTAATGGAGACCCAGAGCTCTCATTGAAAACAGGGTTTCACACCTAGGAGTGTGTAGAGCTGAAATAACATTCATTCCGCATGAAGCTTCATGCAGGGGAATGTTAATCTACAGACTGTAGATGGGAAGGGGTTAAAGAGGGATTCCTTCATATAAAAACATAAATAGAAAGAGCCTTTCTATTTTAATCTTTAACCAGCTACAATTTAAAAAGAAAAACAATAAAAATTAAACTTTGTTTTCTCTGGGGCATAGTAACAGTTTTCTGTTTACAGGACTTCCCAGAAGTCTCATAAAGCTGCTTTTGTATTTGGTTTTCTAATTATCCCAGAGCTTGAAGAAAAGCCTTAGCCACCTCCAGCACTGCCTATAGGTTTCCTTAAGTGAAAGTTTCATTAATAGTGACATAGGGGTTAGATCATTAAAGTGTAATAATGGCAGGATTTTAATTTCTTTTCATTGTTTTCAAATGTTTTCTAACACAGAATAAAGTTCTTAATTAATTAAAACGTTTATCTTTCAGATATGCTGCATTTAAATAAAATAATTGAGATCAAAGCCCACAATTGTGAGCTAATAAGCTGTATTTACTAAGGCTTGAGCGGCTATATATTGTGGTTCACGTGAGTGTGGGTATTCAAACATCCAGGAAAACAATCTCTAACAGGATCTCTATGTATGCACACATGCTTAATACAAAGGTTGCAGTTCCACATTGCAAGTCACATTAAACATCCATGCTACTTTTCCACCTTTATATGCAGATAAAGGGACTAAGTAATGTAGGTGTTAAGATTCTGCTTTAAATTAAAATGCAAACACTGCACACTACATCTGCAATGGTCTTGGAGGTATGAAAATTTAGCTTAATTACTGTGCCATATTGACTGGTGTGGAACATGGTTAAATCTCTTTATGGTAAAGTAAAAACAAATGGACGTCAAGGCACCCAATAAATAGATTAGCCAAGAATGCAACCCAACAAATGAAAAAATTTGTTTCAATTTTGTTTCTATAGTATTTATTTTTTCCCACAAAAATATTAAAACACATAGATGTACATAGTTCTGCGTGCTCAACAAAAATATAGTTCTTCTAGTTTATTATATAGTAATTATGTATCTTATCCGTTACTGTGTGAAAATGATGCATGGGACCGGTCAATGGGCAGTGATTGGGCTTCCTTCATTGCCCAGCAATCTAAGGTTAGAATTAGAATAGTGGGAAGGACACAGGTGGGCACAATGCTAGAAGTCAACCACTAAAGGTCAGAAGCCGGACCAAATCTCCCACATGGCAACCACAGTAAGAGCTTAGGGCCCACCAAGTGCCTTCATGACCGCAGCCATGTGAGGTCCTCCATTCACAACAGGAGAAAGTATAATCCTCTTAATGTTGCTTGGTCCACAAGACATTATAGCATTTTGTTATATATTGGCTGAGATCTCCTGTTTAATCCCATCTCAATCTTCCCATTGACAGCTGTCAATCCGATGCTTTAGACAGGATGGCACATTGTGGGGTTTATTTACCAGAGGCAAATAGGCTGTTCACTTTACAATAGAATTTGCTCTTTGTAGGGGAAGTTTCCTTTAGCTTGATGAACAAGCTTCACATTGCAAAGAATTTCTAATCAGGATCAAGGAAAACAAAAAGAAATGAATTATTGCCGGCACATGATTGGATGATGAAAGTCAGTAGAGCTTCACCTCACTCACTAAACTAAAGGGAAACGTCCCTT